ATCAATGAAGAAGAGAAGTGTAAATCAATTCATGAGTATTGATTAATTAATGGTTGAGACTAATCCATCAATTAACTATATTACATGAATTCAGTTGTGTGGATTTGTGTAAGTAGCAATAGACACTGAAAGGACCACTGACAAAAATTACACAAGTTTGGTTTTAGGCAAAATACACTTCCTACTTAGTCTAAGAGAGAGAGAGAGAGAGAGAGAGATGTCAGATATTCAGGTTGATTGATGGACTTTTTGATCAATAATCTCTAGAACAAACTTTGAAGATATCTGTGCCATTTCTTGGTGAAGATATTTTTTCTTCTATGGTTAATTGGCTTTCAGTCAGTTACATTATAAGTTATATATTTCAGATTTATTACTTATTTTCTGGAAAATTATACTCAGAGATTACTCAGAAAAAAATGCCTTCAGGTGTACCTGGAAATGAATTATTTTAGTTTTCAAAGAAGACTTTATATGAAGTGGCATTTGTTCCAATAAGTATTCTGGCTATTAACATCCTTTTACCAACCCCTCCTCCCCACCCTCACAGGACACCCCTGGAGCTGCTGAAAGCAGTTTTAAACCAGCTGACACCAAGCCCTTGATCTTCTCTTCCTCTCCTCTAGCTACCTCCAGAAAAGGCTGGAAAGAATCAGATGATCCCTGAATTTTGCTACCCTCACCCTTGAAAGGTTTCATTCACCCTCTCCATTGGCATGTAGATGCCACTTGAAAGCTTTTGGCAAATGCCATTTGTTTAGCTTTGAGGCCTTATCCTAATCAACAAAAGGGGAAAGTATAAGACAAGCAAGGAGGCCAAGAGGAGCTGAGGGGGAGGGGAGAGATAGAAGAGCCAAAGGTGAAAGGAGCTCCGGTCTCTTGCCTGCTTTGAAGTTGCCCAAAGTGGTAGAAGGCCTTGAGAAAAGGGGCTCAGCAAACCCAGGTTTTCCCCTGGCCTGGCAATAGGCCTGAAGTGACTGCATATCAAGGCTTGCTTATGCTGATATTGTGGGAGAAAGACAACCATTGGTGCTTGGCCCAGCCGAAATCTTATCTTCGGACTTCCAACCTCTCCTGCTTTATCTCTGGGGCAGGACTCCTAAAAACCTTTTTAAGAAGCTGCAAGGCTCTTCTAATTAAATTCTAGCAACAGAACTTTTTCAAACCAAAAGCGGCTACTGTAAAATGAAAATGATGTTTTGCACTCTTTCCATTTATGATTACCCCACACTTTTTAAGCTACCACTGACAGAAATCACAAAGAAAGGAAGGAAGTCCCTCCAGTGAATCAGCTCTACAGGTTTTTAATAAAAGGCCTGGTTTTTTTCCCCCAGAGAGCACTTGACATCTTCCCCAAATAGTTTTTTCCCCAATGATCGGGGGGGGGGGAATTTGGCAGGGGTTACAGGACCCCCCTGAGATGTCACTCCCCAGGAAGAGTTGCTCTGCAAGAGGAGCAGCTCTTCAGCCGGCTGTTTTTTGCCTGTTCCCAGTTTGCCCTGTAAAGTTTGTGCCTGGAAGATTGTTCTGGTAATTTAAAAGAAAGGAGGGGAAAGCTTTGCTTCTTGGGGTCCTCTGAGACAAGGAAATATAAATCTCTTCACTAGTGGCTTGGGATGCCAGGCAAGACCAGCTGAAGACAGCTTTGGCTTTTGAAGAGAACTTAGTTTACACATAGGTCAATATACAGTTTGGGGTGAAAAGGTTAGCACTTGACCCAGGAAGCTCCCTCCAGAGTGTTTCCAAAAAAACTGAGATTTGGTTCATTGCCCTCCTTTTTCCTAGTAAAAGACCAGCCAGTTCTCTCTAGGGTATCCACTGATAGGGCTGGGTTTAATCTTGGGGCCCTGGAAGCCTAAAATGGCAAGAATTTGGCTTGCACCAAACATGGGAGAGAACTGATTGGTTAGGCTTCTCTTCCTAAGAAAGAACCAAAGCAAATAAGAGCCTGCTATAGGAGTATACTGTGTTTATTACAGAGATTTCTAGGACCCGTAAAATCCTGCTCTGGATTCCATTCTCTTCCTTCCCCCCCAAACAGAATCTCAGAACCTTGAATGATTGTACAGAAAATATTAGAAGCACTCAATCACAAAAGACAACTGATAAAACTCAGTGTTAACATAGTACATCAAAACTTTGTGCATCATGCAAAGTTCCGTACACAAATCACATGAACTATACATTCGTTTGGGCCAATTACCACATTCGGAAGTTCAGCTGAAAAATCTAAGGAAGGATAAATGGGAAATCGGGAGCAGGCCTGGTCTCTCCATTTTCTGCATAAGTTTTGGGTCAAGAATAATTCCATAGAGATTTTGGGAAAGAAAATAGTGGGCAGACCTTAATAAGCAAGGTTCCTTTTTTAAAAATCTAGTGCAATTTCAACATTCTTACCTAACTATTTTGAAGGAAGAATACTAGTCTATGATTGTTTTGTTTTTTTGAGGTATCTGATTGAGTTGAACACATCTTTGATCATGACAACTTTTTGCTATAAAATCGAATCAAGTTTTGAGAACGCAACCACCCTGTTTTAAATTTATAATCAATCTAAACATTTCTAGAAAATCTGTAAAAAGATAAATCTCTTGAACAAAATATTTACAACCAACAACTCATACACACACGAAAAAAAACCCACGTACATTAAATTAAAGCATGAACTTTTTAGAAGTCATGTAAACGCTTTCAATAGTGCATCTCTTTTTGGAACTGCGAACCTCTTTGTCTCTGCCATGGAGGAGAACCTACATAAATGTTCTTTGGCAACTTCATTCTAGTCTATCAACATTTATCATTGTGGTAATCATTTTTTGATTTTTCTCACAAGTAGTCTAGAGATGAGAGACACCTAAATAAATTCTTGTACTGAGGAGAAAAAAGCCTGATGCTGAATTAAGGAAACCCTCAGTCTCGAAATAAGACTGTGATCCTGAACTATTGGGGCCTATCCCAGCCAAAATTAGCTTTTAGTTAAATCTCAGTGATATTATGCCACAAAGTCCCTTTCTATTATTTCTCTATCCCCTAACTCAGTAGTCCTGGATTATGCCCACTAATTTGGAAGAAGTTCGGGGAGGGGGGAACCAGTGAGCTTTGCTTCCAACAAGTTTCAGAATGGGATGTCAATTGTTTGAAGGGTGCAGTAAGAAAAGATTTGATCTGGAACCCAACATGACAAGAGAAGGATGGGATGGAGGAGGGTTCCCCCCTTCAGTCTTTATAAAAGTAGGGTTGGGACATTATCAACTACTCTAGGGCTGAACATAGGGGGCCAGGGAGTGAAGAATGAATAACTGTGGAGCTCAATTTGAGGTAGTCAGTGTATCTGAGGTAGAAGAAGTAGGAGAGGGGGTACATGGGGATGAGCTGGACTTTTCAGAAGAGTCCTCTGCCTTCTCTTCACTTCCGGTTGGAGTGGCTGGAGAGATGGGCAGCAAGCCCTCTTTCTCCCTCTTCTTCTGCTTCATCCTGCGGTTCTGGAACCAGATCTTGACCTGGGTTTCATTGAGTTGCAAAGAGGCTGCTATCTCTACTCTGCGTGCTCTTGTAAGATATTTGTTGAAGTGGAATTCTTTCTCCAGTTCCGTCAACTGCTTGGTGGTGAAATTGGTGCGAACTGTGTTGGGTTGACCCACATAACCATACTCTCCAGCTTTTCCTGAAGAAAAAAAAAGCAACAGTAGCCATAAGTCACACAGGCACATCTTGCTGCATAGAAGCATGGATTCAAAGGCCTTAAATGAAAGGTGGCATTTATCAAGGCACGACTCCAGTAGTGGCTAGGGGTAACGGAAGATGCTTTCTGGGCCAATTCTATGCATGTTTACTCCAAAGCAAGGACTATTTGAATCAGTAGGAAATAACTTCATCATGCTTGGCTTCTGCATATCATCCTGCAAACCTTGCCTGAGCCATTTAGATAGGCCAGGCAAACCAGGTTGATTCTGATTCAAAACCAATATGGGGCACATTCCTTTAGCAGATTGCTCACATTTAATAATTTAACATGGTGCAATGGCAGAGTGTAATGTCCACCTGTTGCCTTTTGGACCCAAGTACCCCTTTCCTTCTGATACCTAGGACAGCCAGGCCAGTCTGCAAAACAGCAGCTATTCAAAGTCAAGAGTGCCTTAACCACCCAGAAAATGAGGACTAACCTGTTTTAGGAGGGTTTCTCTTCACTTTCATCCAGTCGAAAGTCTGGGCTGGTGGAGAAACTTCCGAAGAAGGAGACGTGCAGCTTTCTGGATGGGCAGAGTGGAGAGGAGACAAGGGGTGGCTGAAATTAGTGAGGGTTAAATTCTGCTGCTCCTCTCCGAAAGAGGGATGAATGTACTGAGTAGAACTGGTTGTGCCCCCACCATAACTCTGGGGATGCTGGACCATGGAGGAAGAGAGATTTCCCGAGTAGAGAGTAGGAGCGCATGGGGAGTAGCCCCCGGTGATTTCCGCCTCTTGACTGAGTGGATAATGGCCATAGCCTCCCGCAGTGAAGTTTTGCGCGCCATAGCCGGACCCGCAACTGGGGTGCGAGAAGGACATCCCCAAATTGGGGTGATGTTGGTAGGTGGTACCAGCCTGGTGGTGGTGGGGATGGGGGCTTATCTGAACTCCCCTGCCCACCAGAAAGCGATCGTCCCCGTTGCAGCTGTTGGTGCTGACAGCGCACGACTGAAAAGTGGTTGTAATCCCATGGTCGGGGTGGTGGTGGTGGTGGTGGCGGTGATAGGCACGGGAGGCGCAAGTGGTGGGCTCGCCGTTGAGGATGGGCGGATAATCGAGGAAGGAATTCATCCTTGCCGTGTCCATCTATCACCGATTGACCGGCTCTTCGAAGTCCTGGGTGACCGTGCCAACTTTCTCACTTCCTCCATGGGGGCCAGAAGAAAAATGATATGAATGTACAGTGAGGCGGTGACCACGTGAGGGCGGCAGCCAATGATTGCTGCGGCTGCCAAAGTTGCCCTGTTCCTTCCTGGTGATGGATCACCCTGGCTGTGGCATTTAAATTCTGAGCGCCCCTTCATCAAGGTGACGCGCAGACACCGCCGCCGCCGCCGCCTCCCTCCCTCCCATACTCTTCTCAGCCAGCGTTTTGGGTTTGGAGAGCTGGGCCGTCGAGCCAGTATGCGCCCAAGCGCTCAACCTGGAGCAGCCGCCGCGGGAACAACAGCAGTAAGAACAGAAAGCACTGAGCGGCCGCCGGAGGGGGCTGCTCCAGCGTGGATTGAAGGACACAGAGACTGCAGGTAGGTAAAGGCGCTCGCCATCAAATCGGTTGCCGCTACTCCGGCACCTTCTCCTAGGTGTAGAACACTCGGGCTGGGGAAGCTTAAAGGCCCGGCTTTACAGGGAGAAGGCGGTTATCTGGACGAGGGGGAACCGGGATCCGTTCCTCTTCGCTCGGGACGGTCCGAACCTGAGGCGAGCCAGCAAGAGTTAATGGCGCTTAGTCCAACCTCCCGCGGCTATTTGCATGGAAATAAGGCGCAACGCCATTGTTGTTGCCGCGGACGCGAGCTTTGAATACCCAAGAAGGGCGGCAACTGTGGGGAAGTAGGTGACTGAATTAAAAAGTCAAGGCTCTGGGCTTAGGCTGCGGGCTTCTGCTGATGTTTGACGCCGCTTGGTGCGGAAAGGAAGCGCTTACAAAGGCTGCCATTGGCAGCGATCTTCAGTTCAGCCCAGCTCAGCAGCTGAAGAGGCAGAGCGCCTGTGCAAACACTCGGCCTCCCCCCCACCCATCTCTTTCCCAGTTTTCGACTGCCTCTCTCTGCCAATCAAGCGCAGTCTCGCCTGCCTCTTCCTTCCCTCCTTTCCCCTCCCCATTGGCTGCACACTCGGTTTGAAAACACGAGACAGAGTAGGATATTCTGTGAAATACCAACACTGAATGACCATGTCCAGTTATTAAAAAGAAAGGGACCAAGGGAAAAGGCTGAGAGGCGACAACGGGGGTCTGAGATTCATTTTCACTTAAGCGGTACATCTTTCGTTGTGGCAGAAAACGAGGAAAGCAAAAAGTCCATGCTCAAAATGATGGCCCTCTACTTCTGTTTCCCATCCAACCGCACAAGTTTCTTCTTGGAAAGGTGCCATTAAAGTCACCGATATTTTTTATGAGTTTAGAACTGGGCCGAAGAGCTTAGCTATTTACTAAGTGGTTTGATGGGACTTTTCTCTTCTTTTCTTTCTTTCTTTCTTTTTTGAATAAAGAAGTTCACACAGAGATTTTATATTATATAGAAAGGGACAAATTTAAGTGATAAAACAAGCATGAAAAAGGCCCGGGAACTTTTGTTTGACAGAGACCGCCTGAAAGTATTAATGTTTGTGTATATCTCTTTTCTAACTTCTGATAGTCTTATGAACAACTTACATTTATTAGCAACTCATCATTGTGCCAATTCTAAACAGTTAATGAGTTGGTATTACTTTACTCACATACCAGATTCCGTTCTAGTCATTATCTAATTAGATTGCTATTTTCTTTCCTAAAAAGCTACATCCTTTCCTAAAAAGGTAGGTTAGCTCTTCGGGTAACTTAATATTCCTATTTTGATAATTATGAAAGTTAGGACCCAGGAGATGTTGATCAAAATGTGAAGCTTGTGCTAAAATCTAGCTATAAATCATATGAAGGCACAATGTTTTTAGAAGAAGGTTTCTGGCATTTTTGTAAAACAAGTAAATTCTGATATGCAGCCAGTTTTTTTAAAAAAATCTCCCCTTTGATTGGAAGCTTATTGTCTACACTCATTTCTCTTTCTTTTACGAACAGAAGAATAGAGAAATATCATTTTAGAGTTTAGCAAACCATTTACATAATTCACATTCACAGATCAATTATCAAAAATTGCAAGTACATTCAGTGGATAATAATAGAGTTATTAACCAGATCAGTGAAGTTGGCATACAGTGTTGTTTACACTGTACGGTAATTGAAAAAAAGAAAATAGATATACAGAGATTTTATGTTTCCTGCTTAGAAAAACACAACCTTTGCTAATCAACTTTGAAAATAAAAACAATCTGTTTACTGTTTTCTGTTAGACCAAATGACTGTTGGGACAGTTTTATTCTTGGCCCGATTTCTATCTACCCATCTGTTCTCTTCAGACATTCTCTCCCTCCCTCCCTCCCTCTCCCCCCACTCCCTCCCTCCTTTCCTTTCCTCTGCTTGCTGCTGCTCCCTTCAATCCTCTCCCCTCTATTTCTCCGCCATTGTTCCAAAGAACTTTCCCCCTTTGTCAGGCTGTCTTTGCCCGAAAGCTTTGCATTCTGAGGCCAACACTACCGCCCCCCCCCCCGCACTTGCTTGCCAGAATGCAGAAGGGAGTGAATTTAGAGAAAAGAAGCAGCTTGTCCCTTGCTGGGTTTCCAATTTGACTCTCGAACACGGGAGTTCCCTCCAAAACTTTCACTTCTGGGGACTTTTCCCAAGGCCCGATCCTTCTCCCCCGTCCCCATAGTCCCCTTTGTGGCGAGGCTGTTCTCGGTATTCCGAACGGAGCAAAGCCGTTTGTTGCGTTTATCAGATAGCTAAGGCACTCAAGAATTTCGCCGAAAACCTTTACATTCCGGAATCACTGTTAGGATTTCTTTCCTCCCCTCTGTCCCCCTTTTTGTGTGTGTGAGAACTATATGTCTCGGCATAGTTCTGGTCCCAAGGGAAAATCTGCTTAGGCTCTGGAGGCAATTGATTTGTGTCGAAAGCTTCTTTGTCAGTAGCATTGGAGGCTCCCCAAACTAACAGACCTGCTGGTTTGCCTATAAAGTAAAACGTCTATAAACTAAAACGAAAACACGATTTTTCAAAGAAAATGTTCTGCCCCGAAAGAGCAATCTTCGATCTTCGTGCTAGCTAGGCGAAGGAGGGAGGAGGGAGAAAGAGAAAGAAAGGGGATTCCCTGCCGCACCTGAAGCTTAGCCAAGCAGTTGTTTTAACAGAGCAATAAAAAATGAATTATGACTAGCCGCTTCCAAGCTTAATGGTTTTAGACGGGGATCCCCTACTCCAGCAAATACGTAAGAGGATTTTTATTTGTGCATGTGTTCCTGCAATTGATCTCTTTGATGACATTCTCATTCACAAAAAGCCTTTGATTTATGAGTTTAGGAAGAATTGCATCCAGTCCTTCCAGCTATTACCCACGCGGTTTTGCGCCACCCCACATAGATGGGTTGCAAAACAGGGAAACAATCTGCCACCAAAATAAATGCAGCCGGAGCAGAAGGACTAGCAAATGTGAGCCTGTAAAGCCTGAATCATTCTCCCCCTCTCTCCATATGCCTGTGTACCTACATAAACACCCATACGCATTCTTACCAAGAAAAGGGGAGGAAAAAAAGGGATAGTTATTCATACATGCACACACACCAAGAAAAACAAACCCCATCTGCTAACACAGGCTGCTATCTTGTAGGGCACAAAAGAACGCACATCAACCTGTATGAATGAATTAAATTAATCTGCACTAGAAGATGGACACACACACACACACAACCACCACCACCACTTTCAATTAAAAGCACTTTTAGACCGGCCACTTCAATTTTTATGTGCTTTGGAAGAATAGAATAGCTGAAAGATCTTCTTAAATGTACACTTGTTAACCTGAAGTTCATTCAGACTGAGCTTTGGTGAGAATGTCTTTTTCCCCACCTTCAGCGTGAGCTTTTGTCCTTTGAACCCAAATTTGAATCCATAATTTATATGCCTTGCAACAGTTTAATAACTAGCTTTTATCAAATGGCTTTTCTGATTTCCTCTCTCTTTTAGATTTCTTTTCTTGGGACCTTTGGAACATTGGGACTGAAATCCACCAGAAGTGTACCTTTTCTTGATTTCTCCACACCAACATTTCTTTCCAAGACATGGTTCGCAAAGAGAATAAACACAGTGACTTAATATAAATATACATTTTATCTGTCTGCATAACTGCAGCAATCCGCCTAAGGAGCCCTTGCTTTTTATCTTTTGCAGAATATTTTTCTTTCATATATATATGCGTGCAAGAGACAAACTCACAGTGTTTTTAATAGTTTTTAATAGCACTAAAGCAGTATTTTTGTGTATTTTAATTCTAATATATGGTATGTATTAAACGGAGGAAATGCTTACTTTCTTTTTTAATAAGGATCAAAGATATTCTAAGTTATGGGAAGAATTGTAACAATGCCATTTTGGGGGATGGGGGAGAAAAGGAGGTAAAAGATTTCAGCAGCTTTCTTCCAATAAATGTTTTTTTTTTCAAGAAAAAAAGAAGAGAGGTCTGTAACCAAATTTCTTGGCTTTATTTCAGACCAAAGGAGGGGAGGGGGCAACTCCTTGTGCTATACATGAAGAGAGAGAGAGAGAGATAAAAAGGTGCTTGTAGTAAACAAGAATTTATTCTACCAAAAATACTTATGACAACGCACCCTAATGTAATACAAAAATAAAAAGAAAGTGAAGATACACATTTGATATGATCACTTTCTTTTACAGGCCATATATATTGCTTTAATAGTATGCTTTACCTAGTCACCTAGTATGTGACTAGGTAAAACTAAAATGCCATAGGGAAACGGCAAAGTAGTTCTCCAACATCAGGGTAATCGAAAATACTAGCAGACAAAGAGAAAGAAATCAAAGGGAGGGGAGGGAAAATAAAAATTAAGGAGGGGGGAGGCAAAAAGAAAAAAAAGAAGGTATAACCCTTGGCGCATGAAGTTCTGTGCTTTCTCAGTAATTCAGGTGCTGCAAGTCAATTGTGGTGAGCGTATCTGAGAAAAAATCAAAGCTGTCGGCTGAAATATCTACAGGACTGTCGAGGGATCCTGGCAAACTGGGGGAGACAGCAGCGTCAGAAAGCTGTAGGCAGGAATCTGCAGAGAAAACGCTGAAGTCCTGCAAAGAAGGGACTTCCAGGGCCTCCTGACTGCC